AACATGAAAGGCATAATTGTTACTGTTAAGCAGGAGGGATCTTGAATTGTGATTTTGTTAGTGGTAGGTTCACATGTGTGCTTTCTCATTCAACCTTTTCAGCCTTCTAACCTAGGAAATTTGGATTAATATCCATGTGATGGTTAACTTCGTGCTGAGCAAGGCAAAACTCCCTGTGGCCAGATGCTTATAATCTAATGAGGGAATGCAGATAACTAAAAATCAAGATTATGTAATAATGTAATAAAGCTACACAGTAGTCTCCACTTCTCTGTGGTTTTACTTTCCACAGTTTCAATAACCCACAGTTAACCTGGGTCCAAAAATTTTAAATGAAATATTCCAGAATAAATAGTTTATAATTTTGAAACACTGTGTCACAATGCCTGTGTCATTCACTTCACTTCGTGTCATCATGTAGGCATTTTATTATTTCACATAATCACAAGAAGGTTGAGAACAGTACAATAAGATGCTGAGAGAGATAAACCACATTCACATAACTTTTATTACAGTATATTGTACTGGGCAAGAAGGCAAAGTCTGTGTGATGGGAGGTGGTGAGGGACCAAATTAGGAGAGTATCCATTAAAATAAAGTGAAAAGGATTGATCAGAGGAGAAAAATTGAAGATGGAGAAGAGTCAAGCTTGTATCTGCATTTCTTTCTTTCTTTTTTTTTTTTTGAGACGGAATCTCACTCTATTGCCCAGGCAGGAGTGCAGTGGCATGATCTCGGCTTATGGTAACCTCCATCTCCTGGGTTCAAGCTGTTCTTCTGCCTCAGCGCCCCCAAGTAGCAACTGGGATTACAGGGATGCACCACCACACCCAGCTAATTTTTGTATTTTTAGTAGAGACGGGGTTTCGCTATGTTGCCCAGGTGGGTCTCCAACTGCTGAACTCAGGTGATCCCCCCACCTCGGCCTCCCAGAGTTCTGAAATTACAGGCGGTGAGCCACCGCTCCTGGCTGTATCTGCGTTTTGAAAGGGAGGAGGAATAGTCTGGGTTTTCTCCCAGATTTCGGGGTTGGGTATCTGAGTTGGTAGGGATTGGTTCTGGGAATACAAAAGGAGAGATATTTGGGGCCAGGGCAAGGGAGCAAAATAATTTGGTTCTAAACTTGTTGAGTTTTAGTTGCTTGTGGAGACAATCAAATGGAAATGTTGGTGAATATTTGCATACGCATGTGTAGAACTAGGGAGAGTGAACTAGGCTGGAAATAAGGATTTGGAAATTATTAGCGTACAGGTGGCAGTAGAGGTTGTAGGCATACAGAGTCACATCCTGGAGAGTATACAGAGTAAGCCCAAACAAAGATCAAGGTAGAAATTCTATGGATTAGAATTTCTAGGAGAGAGAAATTCTAGAGAGAGGAGAGAGAAACGGGAGCCTAGAAAAGAATTGTTAATCAAAAGTAAAACCAGGCCGGGCGCGGTAGCTCACTCACATCTGTAATCCCAGCATTTTGGGAGGCCAAGGCAGGCGGATCGCTTGAGCTCTGGACTTCGAGACCAGTCTGGGCAATGTGGTGAAACCCCCTCTTTACAAAAATTAGCTGAGTGTGGTGGTGCATGCCTATAGTCCCAGCTACTCCAGAGGCTGAGGTGGGAGGATGGCTCGAGCCCAGGAAGTGGAGGTTAAAGTGAGCTGTGATCACACCCCTGTACTCCAGCCTGGGTGACACAATGAGACCCTGTCTTAAAAAAAAAAAAAAAAGACTAAAACTAGAAGAAAATGATGTCATGACAGCCAAGCAAGGAGACACTGTCAGGGTATTTGTTGTGTGTGTGAAGTGCTGCGGAAGGGAGTGAGATAAGCATAAGATTCGGCTATCAGGAGGCAGAAAGCATTGCTGTGTGAGAAATAGCAGATCAGGAAACTGGGATGAATGTGGGTATTTGGGATTTTGATGTGGAGGCAAAGAGATGAGTGAGATGTAGGGAGAGGAGAACCGAGGAGCTGAGGAGAGATGGTGTGTAGTTTGTGTTCTGCAGGTGTGAGTCTGAGATAGGACAACACATTTTTCTGCTGAGGGAAAAAAGGAAGGGTTGGGGAGAACAGTTGATAGGCATGTCATTGATAGAGTAAATGTCAGCGGAGGAAGGTGGGGATCAGCTCCACAGCAGAGGAGAAAGAATTGGTCTCGACAGACAGGGCCTGGGACACCTTTTCTCCTGAGGCAGGTAATTGTAGAATTTACCCCAGTCCTTGGGGTTTTCTAAGGTGGATGTGTCTGGGTCTCCTAAGTGGAAAAGGACAATTCCACATGTTCCCAACCTTTATACTTCCATATCGATAACTGGATCCTGACTGATCCTGGGGTGATACATCATTCAGTCTTGTGTCAGCCACTGTGATAGACTCTGGGAATATAAAGAAGTGAAGACAACAGATATAACTG